CTCTAAATTTCATGTGTACTTGTACCTTGTACCTGTACTTGTGACGGTATGAGCTTCAGAAATGAAAATATTCATAGTATGAAGGTAAAACTTTGCATGGCTTCATTACATATACCAGTCAGTAGTTTTTTAAAAAAAAATTACAGTGAAAATGTACATTCTCTTTACATTGTGCGACAGTAAACTGAGCATCTTGGACGAACATTTGAGGACGTCGTCTTGGGAAACACTGCAGAACATTTTATAAACTAAATGACGAGAAACACTTCATAAGGTTTTTAATGGGAGCTGCTGCTGCTCTGATTTGTGTTTTTATTCCTGTGCATGCGAAGCCGGCTCTCTGTGCCTCTTCACAGCGTTTCTGTGTCAGTGTGTGGGAGACGTTTCACAAGCAGCTCATATACAAACAGCGTTTACCTGCTCAGAGGCTGCAGTGAAACGCCCACGCAGCCGGATCCGTGTCACGTTCAGGACAAACTCCGCTCTGGGTTTATTTCAGTTCGTTCTGAGCCGTTTTCGGGCCTCGTGGCGGCGCTGAAACATCCACACGTCGGCCTGTTTGTCCTCCTCGTGCTGCTCATCGGGTCAGCAGCAGATTTTTTGCATTCCCAGACCGACGCTATGAAACATAACTCTGTCTGCCTCATTGTTTTCACATGAAGTCACCTCTCAGCTCCATAAATCACGTCCCGTTATCCCACCGCAGACTCCGTCGCCCCCCAGAGTTCCTCACAGCTCCTGCTTCAGTCTCTCCGTTCGCTTCTTTCACATATTTCTCTTCTCCCTCCGGTGATTAAAGAACCCAGGAGGGAAGCGTCCATCTGAAGCTCCCTCCGGATGAATATCGGCCTGTTGGTGGATCAGAGCTCAGCTGCACTTTAAGAAGCAGACAAAGAGAAAGAAGAAACACAGACGCCTTCACTGGTTCTACAGTTATAGATGCAGTTTTAAAAAAAATACCAAACAGACAGAAAATACAACAATGAAGAATAGCTCATTATTGAAACAAATGAAATAACGAGGATGTTTTTGCATTTGCTGATAAAAAACGGTCATTCCTGAAAACAACCTTAAAATGTCTTAAAATATCAAAATGTCTTTAAAAAATATTATAAAATGTCTGAAAATATTATTTAAAATTTTTTTCACACTGTCAAAATGTTTAAAAAAAACATTAATGTTAATAAATTGTTCATAATAAAATGTCTAAAATATTATTAAAACATTTTTGAAATATTGAAGTGTTTAAAAACAATAATAAAATGTCAAAAAAATATTACTAATAAAATGTCTGAAAATATGACAAAACATTGGGAAACATGAATAAAATATACTTTAAATTATAAAAATATTTTTACATTCTCAGCAATTTTCAACATTAAAACATTAAAATATGTGAAATAATGACATTTTATTGGCTGTAAATACAGTTAAAAGCTTTGCGATTGTTCAGTCAAACACTGATCATTTATTTGTATTTTACCAAAACAAATCTGTAAAATGACAGTAATTTTAAAAGTTCTGAAATATTTTAATATAAATTATCGATCTTTTTTTTTGACCACGTAGCGAAAACTTGTCTTTTTCTTTCTTTGTGTTATAAAATGAGAAATAAAACTTTGATTTAATGTGAATAAATGATGCAGATTTAAGTGTTGGAGACGAGAGCTTCGTCCTGATTGGACCAGACATGATGAAGATGATGAAGGCGATAAGATCTGGACTGAATCTGATTATTTCATTAATTAAATCCTCTCCAAAGAAACAATAAAACAGTGAAACACAGGCGACCACAGCTGTCTGTAATCTTACAGGAGAATTCGCCTCCAGCTGCTGTTGTCTGTTCTTTCGTCCAGCAGCTTCTGGCACCGGCGGGTTTAAAAAAGAAAAAAAAGAAAAAGAAAAAGGAGGAGGTTGCCCAAACAAACCAGCTTCCCCAACTGGGAGCGTCACCATGGCAACCAGGCAGCATCCCCCCACCGTTGTCTGGGTAACGTGACCCGAGGGAAGCTGGGATGTAGCGAGGGGAGGTGTAGGGGAGGTGAAGGACAAAACACACACATGTAAACACACAAACAAACACACAAACAAACACACACCAGGTGAGCAGCTGGACCCTGCAGACTGTCGCACTGCAAACACACGAACAAACGAACAACCGAAAGTCATCAAACCGCCTGTTGGAAGCGTCTACGGGGTCGTAGCACGTACAATATGTGACTTTATGTGGATTAATATTACATGAAACCCGTCTGCTGTCTGCTGTGTGCAGACGGGCAGGTCTACAGCTGGATAATAAAACCAGGTGTGTGTGACTGAAGCTGCACACGTCGGCGTTAACTATTTATGAACTATTTATAAAAAACAGATTTTTGATGTGAACAATATTTATATGTATTTATGTTTGCAGTCAACATGTAAATTAACTTTTTTTTCAGTAATGTTATTAGTTAATATTTGTACTTTAACAAAACGGGATCATCTGTAAAATAACAGTTAAAATAATTATTGAGCATTTTCCACGACGTAATACTTTTTTTTTTCTTTTTTTCAAAAAATAGAAATTATCTGTAAAATAACTTTATACATTTAGGCTGATATAAATACAATGAAACCAGTTAATTTAACAAAAAATAAAATTTGTCTTCGTTAAAAAAATAACATTCAACATTATTTACATTATTTTCAGTAGTTTTTATCTGTAATTTAAAAAACAGGGAAAACCTGTTAAAATAATTATTGAGCATTTTTTAAACCTTAATACACACATTTTCTATTTAAAATAACAGAAATTATTTGAAAAGTGACAGCATAATTTGCTGATTTGTACAATCAAACACTGTAAAAGAGATTTTTCTTTTTTCCTTTGGTAAAAAATAGAGAATTTAATGTGACGTGTTTCCTGTTTTTTGTTTTTTTAGGGTTAACATGTAAATTTGTGATTGTTTGTTTGTTTGTTTTTTGTCATTTACTAGCCGATATTTGTAATTTAACAAAACAGGGAAACCTGCAACAATAAAATTAAAAAACATTGTTTTTCAAACCTTCATATACTTTTTCCCTAAATAAATGCAAATATCTGTCAAATAATGACATATTTTGATTATTTAAATACAGTAAGAACGACACAAACACTGTCGGAGACATTTCTGTTTGTAAAAATACAGATTAGCTGGTTAACATGTAAAACACTGACTTTAGTAGTTTTTATCTGTAATTTAGCAAAACAGGGAAAATCTGTAAAATAACAGTAAATTGTTAAAATAAAAAAAACTTAAAAATCCTAATTGTTTTGTACAGTGCAGACTGCTTTTGACCACAGAATGAAAACTTGTGGGGGGGTTTTTCCGTTTATTTACTTTTGCTCCTTTTACAAAAACAGAAAGAAACTTTGATTTAAATGTGAATAAATTATGTAAATTTGAGATGAGAGCTTCGTCCTGATTGGACGCAGACATGATGATGATGATGATGACGATGATGATGATGATGATGATGAAGATGCTCTGGATTGAGTCTGATTAGTTGATTAACTGAATCCTCTTCAGTTCTTCTCGTCTCTGGTTGCTTCTTCGTCTATTTTTAGGCCGTCGGGGTTTTATATGAATAATAAACAGCCGTCTGCCTTTAAAGAGAATTATTTATTGAGCTTCTCTGAGTTTTAAATGCTTTTTTCTTTCTCTCCGTTGATTTTTACAACCTCCAGGAAGTTTTCTTTTCCTTTGATTTACTTCTACACCTGTGGCTTCAGTCGCAGTGTTCACGCTCTTCCTGCTGTTATGATAACGAAGCTGTGTACAATCTTTATCATTCGTTTTATATTTAATTTTATTCATTTTCTGCCTTCAGACGGTAAAAAAAAATCACGTAGTTAGCTTGTTGTTAGCTGTTAGCTGGTTTTGTTTCCTTGAACCAGCAAATTTTGTGCATCAGATGCTTTATTTTCTGTATTCTGGACATTTTAATGCACCTATTTGTTCCTGCATCGGTTTACAGTAAAATGTCAGAATTTATGTGTGAAATGTGCATTTTTTGAGTCACTCAATCCGCTGAGTCAGCTCTTCTTCCTTTGTGTCTTTTTTTTTTTTAACCTCTGTTTAAGTCTTTTTTTTTCTTTTTCAAACTGAAGCTTGTTGCTTTGTGTGTCTAACGAGTGTTTTCTGTGTGTTTTCAGGGCCTTGTACACATATGAGGATGAGACTAATGACTTGACGCTGTCATCATCCGGAGGTACGTTTTTCTTCTTCTTCTGTTTTTTCAGTTGTGAATCCTCCTCTGTGACGTCTCGCTGTTCTAATCTGTGGTTCTAATGAACTCGGCTGCCGGAGAACGTTTTAATGTGGCCATAAATCTGATGAGCTCTGCAGGTTCTGCTGCTGCTTTGGGGGTAAAAAAAAAAAAAAAGAACAATCATGTGCTTTGTCTGCAGAGATTCATTATCGCTGATGATCCTGTACGCGCAGCAGACGCTAATAATGTCGTCGCATTACGGTTTGGGTTGTGTGATAATGGAGATGAAGCCTAAATGCCACCAATTTCTGCTCATTTCAGCCGAATTAATCACTTTTATTACGCGCGTAAGAGCATAGTTTGTTGACGCAATGAATAATTCAGCTTTAATTTGTGTATAAATGTGTACTTTGGCGCTGGTTCGTCATCCACAGCAGGAACTGAGGTATTTCTGAGGACACTAAACCAATAAATGCACAAAGCGAAGGTGGTCTTTTTTACATGCATGTTTATGAAATTGCTTCATTTAAAGTGGGCTCTTTCAGATTTGAGAGCGTTGTTTCTTCAGTCTGTGCCCCTGCTCCGTCCAAATCTACCCAAAACTAGATTTACTGTCCATGTCTTGAATTTCTTGAAAAACGTCTTTTCTCAGATTTGTGTAAAACAAACCAGTCTGAAGTCCTCGACCAACACAACACAACACCAGGTGGATCGCATTGTCTTAAATCATCAGGTTTTTACAACAAATTCTGCTCAACCGTCCGTGATTTTCCTGAAATTGTTCAATCACAAACATGTATGTTTGTTAAGGTATTTGTGAAATTCTAGCGTCATATATCAAATACTTGCTGCTACGAGAACAAACAGGTTAAAAGAAATAAAGCGCCCACGTTTCGTCAACCCATCCATTCACCCCAACCTCCTCCCAACATGATTAGAGAAGAGTCTATAGGAATGCCGACGTCTTGTTATGACCTCGTCCGCAAACATTTTCTGTTTGATGTTTTCAGAAGTGCCAGGACCCATGGAAGTATGTTTTTAATTGTAGTCTCCGGTATAGAGGCTTTTCTTGTATTTTATATAATGTCTGATGAACTAGTTTATATCCCCAAAACCTTGTTTTTTCATCATGCAGTTCCCAAGCTTATCCTTCCAATTATCTGTATTCTGATGCTTATCAAGAGTCGTGTTGTCATAGCAGCAGGCTGAGGAGGTAATTCCAGACTTTCTAGACGTTTGTCAGTTCCTTCTGGGGCGTTCCCAGGCATAGTTCTGGGTCTACCCTGAGGTCTCCTACCAGTTGGATGTACCAGAAAACCTCCAAAAGAAGCGTCCTAGTCAGATTCCCAAGCATCCACACCAAACTCCTTGGAGGAAACTCATTTCAACCACTTGTATCTCATTCTTTTGGTCAGCATCCAGATTGGAATTGGGTTGGAACATAACTCGACGTGTCAGGTTCCAGTTTTCTGTCATTCGCAAACAAGACCCTAAGATACTCTATTGTTTGCGGCAGCAACTGACCTCCAACCCAGACGACAGAGAACCTCAAACTGGGAGGTTCTGACCGTTCAACTGTTCAAGTAAAGGTCGAGGTCTGGTAACCGTAACAGAACTACATCATCTGCAAAGGAACAGCAACGCAACTCTGAGGTTCCCAAACTGGAAATCTTCCTCGGTACGAATGCAGCTCTTACTTTGGTGGTACAACAACCAGATGGCTTCCAACAAAGACCCTGGTATCGCTTATGAGGCCGTGTTCCAGTCCACAAAACCCATGTGGACTTAATGGTCAAATTCCCATGATCCCCCAAACAACACCGCAAGACTAAACCCACATTGTTCCTTCCGTTCCCGAGGTTTGACAGTCGGTTAGAATCTCTCGTTAGCTTATTAATGTTTATCCGTGGTGTCTTCTAGACACTGACGCTGATCAACCAATGTGTTTTTTTAGGGCAGATGTCAATATCGATTATTGGTAATCAAGAAAGGCCAATGACCAGTATTTGGAATGTGCTAGCAGGAACCTCTCATTTATGAGGAATACTGTTACTGAATTGAGATTTTTTTCTTTTCTATTACTTTTATTTTCCACTAAGGTTGATGTCTTAAAGCATTATTAATTATCAGTTTTTCAGACTCTGATTCAAGTTAATCTGTGGCTGCCTCCTAATTTAGCAGCTAGCTGTTAGCGTCTCCTTAGCCGTCATGAAAGCAGCTTATGCTGATATGTGGCGACGGCTTGTGTTTCTTGTTCAGTTTTTTGCAGGTTGCGTCTCTGCAAGAGATCACCTTGAACAGAGTGTTGAAGTTAATCTGACTTTAGAATGATGTTAAGTTGCTACAGCTAGCGTTAGCTGCAGGCAAAGACGCACAGCAAACCTCTCAGCAATAACCCGAGCCTAGCACCACCAGCAGAACAAGTAGCTTACCATCCAATCGCAGCACTGCTAATTCACTATGACGGCTTCACTCTGAAAAAAAGGGCTCATCTGCCTCTCTGTGTAAACAATAGCTTTCAGTGATTGGCTGTTACTTGTGACGTGTAGCAGCCAATCAGATCACTTTGGGCGGGACATTGTTGAGATGTCAGAGTGACTTTAGGCAAAGAGAGACAAGTTTTGGGTTTTTATATTTTACGCTAATCAGCCAATAAAAATAACGATACCAGTAGCTGGCAGTGATGTTCACATTAGCGTTTGTTAGCGGCGATGTTCTCACAACTTGCCTCCGAGTTTTTTGACATGAGTTCCATTTGAAGGCAGCACATACAGCAACTGTTTTTTCACCTCGTCCACCACAAGATGGCGCTTTAACGTCAACAGATGTAGCTTCAGGATCATTTCCTGTCTCATAGATACTCTCGAGGTCAATTAACAATAAAACCCAACCCTCCTGTTGGCACAAACAACCAATCTGGTCATATTTTTTAGAACAACAGACCTTCTACCATCCTGAGCTTCCTTCATGTCTGCAGCTTCTCCTCTGAGAGACGTGAATATTTCAGCAGCAGCTGAAAGGAAACGCAGCTCAGGGAGTCTCAGAGGAATCCGCCTGCCGCTTCGTATCAGAGCTGATAGGCCATGTTTGTGTGTTTGTAGCGCTGCAGAAAGCTACACCGATACAGTATGTGGAGGACACGATTCTAATCGGAGGCTTAAAGCTAACAGGCTGGAAGACGTTCAGCGGCGTGGAAAAGTCTCCTGATCTTTCCTGCACACCAACCACGAAAAACGACGCCACTGCAAGTCGAAGCTTAGAAGCTTTATTAGAATATCATATCTGTTAGTTACAGTCTTATCTGTGGTTTTACATTATTATCAAAGACGCGTTTTATTCCTGCAGTCCACCTCATTTAATGACTTTATACTGCCGGCTGTCATGCACTTCAATCTGAGATCTGTTTATTCCTATAAACCGAGCAGTTTCTGTTTATTTTTTGCTCCTCTCACATTTTTCCTCACTGTGGGTTCATTTTTCTCTGCAACATAAAGTCCTGCATCTCTACGGAAACAGAACAGTCATGAAGAAGGAGAGAGAACCCAGAAATATCTTAAATGCAGATGGACACGGTTTTAATGACACAAGTCAACAAAAAATATCAACAGAAGTTGAATTTCTTTGATTACCTGTTTTCTGCACTTTAAAAAAATGGAACCAACATGTTCCAGTTTGTTTGTTTGGATTTATTTGGACAGGAACGTTTTAAAATACGTCCGAGGCCTCAAGAACATCAGAAAATGTTTTTTGAGTGTTTGCTTGAGAGCATTCCTCTTTGGTCATCATAGAACGTCCTCTGAATGTTGACATCACAACGTCGTGCTAACTTTAAAGGATTACTGGAAGATAGTTTAAAAAAAAATAAAAGTGAACATGAACATTTGATTTAAACTTTTTCTTTCAAGAATGCTTTAGAACTTGTAGGTTTTGTTGTCCGATGTTGCGGGAACATTCCCCGCCAGCTGCCACGGCGCTGCAGCACTAACGCAGCCTCTCGTTCTTGCTGCAGGAGGCGGTTTGCCGGAGATCACGCTGACCTTTGACAACGGCAGGGTGATGTACGGCTTCTGCAGCCTGAAGGATCCCACCGCCGCTCTGCCACGATACATCCTCATCAACTGGGTGAGTCACAGAACCGCACACGCCGACACGCCTCCACCGTCGTTAAAGCGGAACATCGGCGTCTTTAAGGGTCACGGCACATCTTTAAATTAGCACTTTGTCCGACAAGGACGCGGGCTGAGTCCAGATCTGCAGCCTCAGCAGCACGAAGAACAACAGTGTGACCCCGACGTCACTACGAACGGAAACTGCTGCAGCAGGTTTGACTTTGGTGCCACCTGCAGGTCGTGTAGTTTAGTTGCTTAAATTGCGCAATAAAATTTCTTTAAAAAGAAAATTCTGTGGAATTCCATGCATCTGGTGCAACATCAAACCAGTTACACATTTAAAAGAGTCTGTACAGTATCAACAGTTCTTATGTGTATTTCTTGTTTATTATTATTTTTCTGGTGTTTTCTATGTTTTTTTTCTCTTTATCCGTTGCTGATGTAACGCTACGCTACAAACACCACAGATTAACCCGCCGTGGGATCAATAAAGGATTATCTTATCTTTGCCTATCTTCACTTATCTTATTTTATCTTAGCTAATGTATCTTACTTTAGCTCAGCTTATCTTAGCATAGCTTTGCTTGTCTTATCTTATTGTAGTTTAGCTTAGTTTAGCTTGGCATAACTTATCTTAGCTTACCTTATCTTGCCTTGTCTAGTCTTAGATTAGTTTAGATTATCTTGACTTATTTTGTTTTATCTTATCTTAGATTAGTTTAGGTTAGCTCATATTATCTTAGATGAGGTTATTTTATCTTAAATAATATCTTAGATTAGGTTATTTTAGCTTAAATAATCTAAGAAAAGATAAAACAAGATAAGTCAAGATAGCTTATCTTAGTTTAGTTTATCTTATCACATGTTATTGTACCTTCGCTTAGCTTATCTTATTTGATCTTACCTTAGCTTATTTTACCTCAACCCATCTTAGCTTGTCTTGTTTTGTCTTATTTTAGTTTAACTTAGTTTAGCTTAGTTTAACTTATCTTGCCTTGCCTTGTCTTATCTGAGATTAGTTTAGCTTATCTTGACTTATCTTGTTTTATCTTATCTTAGATTAGTTTAGTTCAGCTTATCTTAGCTTAGGTATAAGATAAGATAAAACAAAATAAGTCAAGATAAGCTGAAGATAAATCAAGATAGCTTATCTTAGCTTAGCTAATATTGTCACATATTATTGTAGCTCCGCTTAGCCTAGCTTATTGGATCTTATCTTAATTTATTTTGCCTCAACCTCTCTTACCTTACCTTATCGTACCTCAGCTTAGTTTACCTTAGCTTATCTTATCTCAGCTTACTTTAGCTTAGCATATTTTATCTTAACTTATCTTGTCTGATGTTATGACGGCTAATCTTAGTTTATCTTAGTTTGGCTTAGTTTATATTTTCCTATGAAAAACATCAAATTTAATCCTTACTGTCTTTTAAACAAATAATAAAACACATTATTATGTCTCAAAAGCAAAACAGAAAAAGTGAAACAAACCAAATAAATAAAACTATCTTTAAATAAATAAACA